CACGGAGAGACGGACTGCTCACCCCCACCGCCCGGGAAGACCTGCCGCCGCCACGCCACCCAGAAGACCACCACCAGCACGCTGCTGGCCCGGCTGCACCACGTGGCACCACCTGGCCGACATGCGCTCGGCATGCCCTGCTCCGCACCCCCCCCCCGGCACAGGTGAGAGCTGTGCCACTCAGAGGGAGTGGTGCAGAGGAGGAGGAGCCGCGGGCTTTAACCTGCCGGCCGCACGGAGAGATGGACTGCTCACCCCCACCGCCCGGGAAGACCTGCCACCGCCACGCTGCCCGGAAGACCACTGCTGGCACGCTGCCGGCCTGGCTGCACCACACCTGGCCGGCACGCGCTCGGCGCGCCCTGCTCCACCCCCCTCCTCTGGCGCTGGTGAGCTCTTAATCACAGGTCGGTGTGTGTTTTCAAATGGCAACCCATCTTTTAGTGAAGCCCATGGGGAAGTGATGGGGGATGTGCCTGTGATTATCAGGAAGCTTTCCATGGATCCCTCCTCTAAAAACTAGGTGCATCTTATGGTCATGTGAGTCTTATAGAGCGAAAAATACGGTATCCTTTTCTTCACTTTCTCTCATAAAAGGCAATATATGAACATTTTAACTGAAATAAAATACAGTAAGGCAGTGGTACCAGAATAAGACAACAATTACATCATAAATCAATAGTGCAGGTGGATTGTGGGGATAAATCAATAAAAAGCAGGAAAGAAATCAGAATATTACAGCAGCCGATGGCTACCCCATAACACATTAAGGATTAGAAAGTAAAGTATAAGAAGCAGCTCTAAGCACTGCATTCCAAGAGAATTCCAACTGAACGGAAGTGAGAAACCAGGCAAGTTTATGCATGTATTTCATGCAATGCCACAGCTCAACCTATATTCTGGATCAGAAGGAACATAAAATTTTTATCTTCTTGGCAGTGCTGAGCTTGAGGAAAGTAAAAAAGGCATGAAGAAAATGGGAAACTTATCCCACTTTTGAAATATGCCCCCTTTGTATGTCAGATTATTTACACAAAGTAATCCATTATGTAAGAGAACCCTTCAACTGTAGAGTACAGTAAAATTAGAGCTTCAATAAGACTGTTGAAAAGGAAAGGGACAAAGAGAAAAAAAAGTTCCTCATGGAGATAATGCCAGATTAAAAGCACTCTTGTTCCAGATATCCTCCAGTTTAGTTTACTTTTAAGATTTCCTAGCTTTGTAACTCTCTAATAAAAGTTTATATGTAGATCCCATTTTTCTATCAGTAGAACGTATACATGCTTAACTTTTGCTGGATTATAACCCATGTATTTTGAAGTTTCAAAACAATTTAGTTTCCTTACGAAATCACATGCTCTAGCTGCAAGAAATTAAACACTTTTACTTACCAAACCCATCTATGTCTAGATTGTTATCAACCACAACATCTAGAAGAGAGTCTCCAACCTTCCCTTGGCCTGTTAACTTGTCACCATCCCGATTTATGAAGTGCACAGTAACCTTATCTTCTGAGCTGAAAAGAAAAACAGTGTCTTCAATACTTTTTATGTATAACAGAATGAGGGACTTAACAGGGCTGTACAATGTTGTGTGGACTCAGTAAGCCAAAACTCAACACCAATGTTGAATATTTGTGAACAGTACCTGTGAACCATGTGCAAGAAAAAACTGGTTAAGGATCAGAGTATGTCTGATAAACACCAGCCTTATTTTGAACACTTTAGTGCACTGTAAAAAAATCTGTGGTTCACTTTAAAATATCTAAAACATATTTTAATATTTTCTACATTTAGGTTTCTAATGTAATATTTCACAAGTTTGGGGGTACACTTCTGCAAATTACAAAAGGTAGTTTATTCTTTATATTTGACTTTGAGAAATTGTGTATTATTCTTAGATAAAGCTTCTAGTCATTGTACAAAGATCAAAATCTCTACAGCCTTACAGTCTAATATATATTAGAGAATATAATAATAACCTAATAATATTAATAATCAAATAATTTAGAGAATATCTATCAGAAAGGAAAAATAATGCAAAGGGGGAGAAAGAGATTTCAGGCACCAAACCTATATACTAATGCTGAGTTCATCCACTTCAGTTCCAACTTTGTGTAGCCAAAATAATACCATCCAACAGTGGAAGAGGAACACATATATAGAACTGAGGAAATCCCAAAGTTTTTGATGTAAAAAAAAAAAAGCCAGAAAAAAAGCTGTAATGGTGGGGCCAACTGTCCCCTCAAAAATAACATGCTAAGTGGCCACAGAACAATGCACTTGCAGAGATGGGCTGGAATAGCAAGCTGTTTCCACCCTGAATTGAAGCATTCCACAGTGCAATGTTTTGTTGGAGGCCCCACTTGTTCGTAACATTATAATTCATCTTTTGATGTTCTATCCTCTGAATCCAGCTGGCTGCAAAGGTGAAAATCTGAAATGCAATATGTTCACTGAATTAACAAGTCAAATCAGAGTTCAGGTGATTGGTCTCTCCCAGTGCTGCAATTTTATTTAAGATATAGGACATGCCTTATCCACCAAATATTATTCTAGTTTGATCAAAAGGGCAGAACATGGTTTTAACTTAAATATCATTTCAAAAGCAAAATTATCCAGTAGTAGTATGTGGTATGCTTTATTATGATGTCACATTTGATTTCTGTCAAATGTGTCCTCAGTCCATTTCATCCCCAAGGAGTGCCACAAGCTATTCTCAGGAGTAAGAATGAGTTCCTTGAGACGTAATCAGTGATGAAAGGCTGACCTTGTTTATTGACAAAATTCAGTGAAGTATTTGCTAATCTGATTTTGGGTTAACTTCCTGAATTTCTACATAAGTTAAAATAATAGCACTTTAGAATACTGCAGTATCATATATTCACATTTCAAGGACATTTTTGCTTGTTTTATAATCCTTGGAATTCTACCCAGAGCAAGATCAGTGTTGACTTCAAGGTCATGCATTTCCTCTTTAATGCATTTCCCTACAGAAAGTAGTAAACAATTGATATGGAAGACCATTTATTTAAACCCCAGCTTACAGGGAAAAAAAATCCTTGCAAGATTATCTAGAGAACCCACATCATTGGTCAGCTACAGGACCCTAGTAGTCAAGGGAATCATTACCCTTCAAATTACCCAAAAAGTCGAATGTGACTCTATTCAATCAAATAAGGACATGACATCTGAGTACTCTGTAATTTAGGGTACAAATTAATCAGGATAGTTTTATATGCAATGGCTCCATGAGAAACTTGGTCAGAAACCCCTCCCCCACTTGCTAGCATGTCATATCCATGGGTTCCCACCCATTCTCTCACTTCTAAGACTGCTTGTTGGAAACAAGGGGTAACCATATGATGCTAGGAAAAGAACCAATTTCAACACTAAAGTAGAAACCTGGGCATCCAAACTGATACGGATATGGGGGTGGCAGGTGGGATGTGTGAATGCACAGATGACCACTGGAAGAACTACAGTTACAGCCAGTTACTGCAACTACAGTTACAGTAAGCAACATGTCTTTCTTCTTTGTGGTCCTTGAGGCAAACAGAAAGATAGGTAACTTGGTTACAGAAGCAGGGTTGGTGTTGTTTCTGTAATATGGAGAACAGTACAGCCTGGCCAATATGGAGAACAGTACAGCTGCTCAAGCCTAAACATCGAAGTAGTAATGTCTAACTAAAATTGTCAGTTCCAACCAAACTGCAACATGGCAAATATTTGTCAATACAATCATTCTGCTGAATGCCGTTGAGGTAGCTATTCCCCTTGTGGAGTGTGAAGTCCATCTTAGAGGTACTTGTAAACCAGCTAAATCATACGCTAGCTTTACTATCTGGATTAGGCATTGTGTCTTTGTATGGAGACTGGTGGCCATTCTGTTTCCCTCCATAACAGACAAATAAGCAAGGGTTCTAGTGGAAAGACTCTGTGTGAGACTGGGGGAAACTAGGGCTCTGCAGGCATCAAAAATGTGGAGGGTCTTTTCTGCCAGCAACTGCAAGGTGGGAAAAAGACTAGAAACACAATATCCAGGTTCAGAGGAAAATTAGTACTAACCTTTGGAAGGAAGCATATGTATGGCTGAAGGACACCTGGTCCTTGTTTAAGGTGGAATCAATCCTATGAGCACAGAGTTCACATGGATGGAAGGCTAAACTGATTGCTATTAAAAAGGCGACCTTCCATGGAAAAAGAAAGATGTCTTATGTAGACACTGGCTCAAATGGCTGGGCCAACCAGACTTTCAATACCACAGATAAACTTGACTGTGAGAAAGGAGTCCTGACTGGTGAGTGAAGAAGGAACTGGGCTGTGAAATGCAGAAACTGCTGCCAAACAGATGTGCAGAGGTCACAGCGTCTGTCCCTTCTGTCTGTCTGTCGGTCTGTGTGAGAGAGAGAGCACACGAGCGAGCATAAAACATAAGAGAGCACACAGGTCATTGAATCTACATTTCTGGTACTTAAGAATTTCTTAAGACCTCCACTATCTGGTACTGTATGATTTTTTGTGGCTAGTTTCCTATCTGCCTCAAGGAGAACCTGAAGTGCTGGACAGAAGTGATGAGTATACAGATATATTCTCCAAGCTGTTATTACATCTGGGTGATGGGTTTGACCTTGATTCCTAGGGAGGAGGTCTAGCCTGAGAAGAAGTTGGAGGTAAATTTTGTATGAGAAATGTAGCAACTGAGTAAATCACAGCTGCCTGGACTACCAAGGAATTATCAGTATTGTGTTGGCATTGTCAATTTGTAATTTCACAATGGCCTTTGTTAGAAGAGGGAATAGGTAGCAAAACTTTCCTGTCCACATGTGAAAGTGTCTCCTAGTGAGCCTGGGATTGCATGCCTTACTCCCTACCATCTAACAAATCAACTTGTAGTATTCTCCATCTGACATACTTTGTGATGCAATTCCCATTTGTGAAATATGTAGAAGTGAGTCAAGATGTCTGCTAGAATATTGTTTATACTGGTTAGCCAAATATGTCTGGGAATGCTCCAGTGAAGACTGTTCATAGTAAGTACAGGCATGATTGGTATGCCCTTGTAGCAGATGACAGTAGTGTTTGAACTTATCTGAATGATTCAGTTCTGTGGACCGAACACCTTCAATGCCTTCCAAAATGCCAGAAGCTCCAAATTGGAGCTATCAACCATATGTCTTGCATTGAAGGACCATAGTGGGATACCCACTCCTTGAGAAAAGAATCAATCAAAAGAGTTCTAAGGGAGGGATAGTGGAAACAGGACAGTCTCTTGAAGACTGGGCTGGAGAGTCCACCAATGAAGGGAAGTTACAATTTAAGTCAGACTCTTTAGTATCATACAGTAAACACTGAGTGCAGGGTCAAAATGTCGAAGGAAGCAATTTTCACTGAACACAGAATAAATCTCCATTGCAGCAATCTCCACTACTGCTGTAGAAACTGCCATCATGCCTAGAAGATGTTGTACCAAGGAAGGTGCAACTCAGCATGCTTTCATGTGGTATTTCCCTGGGGTGATCCAAGTCAATGCACACAGATCGTCTTTCATATCCACCAATGCAAACCAATCCCCCTTTTAAAGAGAGGTAAAAAAGAAAAATGAAGACAATGCAGTAATTCTAAACCTTTTTTTGGTGTAATATGTGAATTTTAACATCATGAAACTGTACCCTCCTGCCCAACTTCCCCAGCAACTGATGTATGTACAACTGAAAACTGATGTTTTTACCTTCCAACAGGATTATAACCAACATGAGTAGTAGCCATTGATAGCCTTATTCTCCCTGAATTGGTCCAATCCTCCTTTAAAGCTATCTAAAAGGATGGTCATCATTAAAACTTTTGGTAGCAAATTCCACAGCTTGACTAGGAGAAGTCCTTTTTATCTGTGCCAAATCTTCCAAAAACCAGTTTCATGGTATGACCCTAGGTTCTAGTATTATTAGAGGAAAACGTCTCCCTGTTCACTATCTCTACACTATGCATAATTTTGTACACCTATATCATGTCTCCCTTACTGGCTTCTTTTCTAAACTCAACAATCGCAGAAGTTGTAATCTTTTTTCATAAGCGATTGAGAGGGTGGTTATCTTTCCAGTGCCTGGTGGCTCTGAATGATCCTGATTTTCTGGCTTCAGAGCAGGCCATGGAGTTAAGACTGCTTTGGTCACTCCAGTGCAGGGGTTGGCAACCTGCAGTTCCGGAGCCACACGTGGCTCTTGAACTGCTCTGCTGCGGCTCTGTCGCTCAAAACACGGCTGCTGATCTGTTCGAAGCTCCACTCAGGAAAGCAGGGCTAGCTAGTTAAGTAAATCAGCTAGTTAAGTAAATCGCTATATTCCTCTGCTAAACAAGCTTCCTGCAGGCTCTCATGTTACACGAAATGCTGCTGAAAAGATTCTCTTTGTCCCAATGTAATCTCCTTCATCTGAATGTTAAAAGCTGTGCTTGGGACCTGTCACAATTCACAGCACTTGACTGTTTATCTGCTAATCAGTCACTAAACACACCTATATCTCTGGCACAGCCCAGCCGCATCTCTGAACCTGCAACAACCTGCATCTCTGAACCTGCAACAACCTGCGCAGCCTGCCTGCGGACCTGCGAATTTACTGAGCTCCCCCTCACCCCCGCCCCCCAGGCCAACCATGGATAAATCGAAGAAAAGTTTCTGAAGAAAACCAAATGTTTAATGGTATGTGGGTAGATTCATTTGTTTTTACTGCTGATGAACTTATGGGGTTTGCTGTTTAATGCATGCAGCCCTTTAGCACTGACTTTGACTCTTCAGGAAGCTGTTCTATTCAAAATATATGAGATGAGTCCTACTAGTTTATAATGTAAGTTTAAAAATAACAGTTTTTAGTGATTGAACAAGAGCTGCAGCTAAAGCATAATGAAGATATACATAGCATTAAGGTAAAAAACGATATATGCAGTGTTATCTTCATTTTAGATGTCAAAAGGGTTTTGTGGCTCCTGGTGTTTTCTTTTGTGTGGGAAACGGGTCCAAATGGCTCTTTGAGTGTTAAAGGCTGCCGACCCCTGATCTAGTGGATGCTCTACTACTCAGAATTAACAGGAGAAGGTGTCCATGTTGGTTCTGGCATTTGATACTATCAGTGGCATTTGATACTATCAACCATAGTGTCCTTCTGAATCATTAGAGGGAGTTGGAAATTGGAGGTACTGCTTTGCAGTGGTTCCATTCCTACCTCTCAGGTTGGTTCCAGATGGTGATGCTTGGAGACTGCTGTTCCTCTAAGGAGGAACTGATTCATGGGGTCCCAAAGGGCTATATTGTGTCTGCAATGCTGTTTAACATCTACATGCAGCTCCTGGGAGAGATCACCTGGAGGAGTAGCACTGGATGTTATCAATATGCTGATGACATCCAGATCTACTTCTCCTTACTATCATCTGCTGATTCTTCTAGAGATAGTTGTCTGCTCTCTGAATAACTGCCTGAAGCTGGTAATGGCTGGATAATAAAAAACAAATTAAAGCTGAATCCAGACAGAATGGAAGTGCTTGCTGTTGAGGGTCTGAATCCAGTATTAGAGGTTTGTCAATTGGTTCTAGGTGGGGTCCCTTTTCCCCTGAAAGACCCAGCCCTTCAGATGTCAGCTCAGACAGAAGCCATGGTCAAGAGTGTATGCTCTCAGCTTTGGCTGATCTGCCAACTGTGTCTCTTCCTGGAAGAGAATTACCTGAAAATAGTAGTGCATGCACTGATAACTTCTAGGCTCAATTTCTGCAATGCACTGTACATAGGACTACCTTTGCACCTACTCTGGAAATTGCAACTAGTACAAAATATAGCAGCCAGGCTAGTTTTTGAAACATCATGAGACCACATATCACCTATTTTAAAGTCTTTCCACTGGGTGCCAATATATTTCTGGATACTGTACAAGGTGTTGGTAATTGCTTTTAAAGCCCTTCATAGCTCGGATTCAAAATACCTTCAGCAGCGCCTTTGTCCATACATTCTACCTTGCCAGCTAAGGTCCTCTGGGGATAATCTTCTGAAGTCTGCTTCTGTAAGATTAATGTCAACTACCAAGAGGATTTTCTCAGTGGTTGCCCCTAAACTGTGGAATGGTATGCTTGGATGGATGTGTCTATATTCCACACTGCCATCTTTAAGAGGGATTTAAAGACATCTCTCTTCTGACAGGCCTTCCCAGATTAGTTCTCATATCAGTTTAATATGTTTTAGTCAATTTTAATCATTGTTGGCTTTAATTTCTTGTAAACTGCCCAGAGCCTACAGGAATGGGGTGGTATATGAAAATTAATGTAATAAACAAACAAATAAATAAGGGAATTGCTCCAGCCCTTGATTCTTATCGTTGTTCTCTTCTACTCTTTTCCCAGCTCTTACACTTAGCCTTCCTTGGGTGCAGTAACCAGAACTGTACACACTGTGGCCAAAATCATAAATTTATATAAAGGCAGTACGATCGTGGCAGATCCTATTCCTAATCCCTCGGAAAGTGGAATTTCCCTTTTCACAGCAGCCATACGCTAGTTACCCATTTATCCTCACAATAATCCCGTGAAGCAGACCAGACACACACACACACACACACACACACTCTCTCTCTCTCTCTCTCTCTCTCTCTCTCTCTCTCTCTCTCTCTCTCGTGTGTGTGTGTGTGTGTGTGGTGGGGGGGTGCAAGACAGCGACTAGCCAACGGTCGTCCACCGTACGTCACAGCTCACACTTCTAGACCGAAAGGAAGGCAGAGGCGGCCAGGTCCAAAGTTCGCTGTCCCCTTCAGGGCAGCGACTCCATTAAAAAGCGGAGAGGAAAGGACGGAAGAGGCGCGAAGCGTCCCTGAGGGACACCGACTCTGACGGGGGACCGGGGGGGGGGGCGTATCGCGCCGCCCGGCATTCCCCACTTACCTGAGGCGAGCCCGTGCCGAGGCATGGAAGAGCCGGCCGGGGCCTAGCTTGGTAGCGCTGCCCCAGCTTCTGCCGGTGCTGCCAGGCGTTGCGAGGACGCGGGAGGAGGAGGCCGCAGCTACCCGGAGCAGCAGAAGTCCCGTGGCGCTTGAGGCTGCCATGCCGCCCCGGCAGGCAAGGACGGCAGCTCCGCGGGGTCGTGCAAGCGGCGGAAGCAAAGGAAACCGCTCGGACGGCCTCCCTGGCGCTTCCTGTCACGCCGGCTCGAGTTCAAAGGCCGCAGCGTTTACACAACCGGCATAAGCCTCCGCCGAAGGCGCGGGACGGGCGTTCCAATGTAGGCGGAGGATCACACAACTTGTCTGCTCTGAGGGCCGTGCGAGTGCGGCGCGGACGCGCGGGGGCGGCTGCTCCGGCCATGGCTCCTGCCGTCCCGCTTGGCCTCTTTGCCGCTTCCCGCTTTGCCAGGTTCTCCCTACAGGGGAGCTCTCGGCTCAAGGAAGGAGGAGGCACGTCCCTAGACGGACTGACTGACCTTACAGGGTTCTTGTGGTGATTTTTCAGATCCAACATTACAGAGTTGGAGACATAAAACTGAAGTCAATGTCTATCGGTTTCTTATTCCTTTACTCTCTTTATATAAGTTAGGAATGCCTAGGGCAGGGGTGGAGCGTGTTGTTGGATAGCAACACCCATCGCTTCTGAGCATTGGCTATATTGGCTAGAGCTGATGGGAACTGTAGCCCAGAAATACCTGACTAGACTTTTCTGGATGGCAGCTTCTCACACAGTTCAGTACAGAAGAGCTCAAGGGGGTGCTTGAGCTCTTCTGTATGTTATGGTTAGCATGAAAAACGGAAGTACCAAGTAGGGTGGGTAATTTCTGCTATTGTAATGGGTTGGTTGGGTTGGCAGCTTTTTGGCTGCAAGGGCTGCATGCAGCGCTGGATTGCCTGCCACACAAGCACAGTTCCCATCCTATCCTACATTTCAGTACAAAGAGATGGGAGTGATTGAAGTTTCTCTCCATACAGTCTGCTGATATCATCAGAGTGATGGATTTACTGCCTCTCCTTGCTAGCAATCCTGAGCCAAACTGCTGAGTGGCTGGGACAAGTTTAAACACTTTCCCACCCCTGTAATCTCAGCCTAGTTTGCTGTTTGCCTATTACTGTTAGGCAAAGAGCAGTATGTTCTTGGCTATTCAGGTGAGACTGGAAGGTAGGGTACACTGTGGGCTTTGGGAGCTGCACAGTCTGCAGGTTGCCCACATGCATTGTAGATAGTGCCACCAATTTCTGAACCTTCTAGTTTCCAATCTGCCATTTGTTGGCAGGCCTGATGCTCATGTAAAAGCCTTTAGGGCACACAAGTGTAGACAAAAATGACTTGCAGCTTCCAGCATGCCCATGGGAAGCAACCTGCCATTACAGCCTCTCCTTTACTTACCTGAGTGCAAGAATGGCTGAAAGAGGAAAAATAGCTGCTTTGCCACTCTTCCTCCACTTGGGTTGCTCCCCAGACAGTGAACTGAATCAAGCCCCATCTCCTAATGTTAATGCTTTTATTTGCCTCCGCTCACAAGGAGAAAGAACCACAATATTTGGGAAATCCTCAGAAAGCATAAAAACAGCACACACAAGGTGTCCTCCAAAACACAGGCATAGCCCACAATCAGGGACTTTGATAATGTTGACACCCTTATTATTGTTATCACATTGCATTTATATTCCATCTTTTTATCTTATAAGGAACCCAAGGTGGCTTGAAAAACATGCTTGCTGCAGAGAGTGGGAGATCTGTCATATTTGAAGGGCATTAGGTTGAATCTAAAATAGATTACAACACTCTCCCTTGCCAGTGTGCCATGTTCAGTTTGCAATTCATCAGTAAAAATTTAAGGTGCCATATAGCTTTTTGCTTGTCCCAGGCACTCATCTGCATCTGCATCTGAGTTTGGGCCTGAAAGTCCAAGGAAAAGTGTAGATGCCTAGAGGGTCAGTTTTAAACATGCACAGCTTGCAATATTACACAGTTCTGTTCCGAATGCAAGCAAGAGATTAATTAGCTTCTCTTCTACAACATTTAAATTCCCATAATTATTTCTTATTATGCTCATATATCTGCAAATGTAAATCACCACATTATTAGATTGTATGCTTTTTTTGTCCCATGGACCTATGTCCTAGAATTTTTAGGTACCTCCATCTTTTGACAGTGTTGTGGTAAGGTGTGAGTTTACACTGTATCTTGTGCTCTATTGCAGCTATCTGAACAGAAAGAGTTAGAAGTTCCTGCAAGTGGAAATAACTTTTTTTTAATAAACAAAACAACCCACTTTTGGAAGTGAATTTTTGACACTTCCTGCAGCTTGCCCATGCCTTTGGCCCACATTAGCTATTCCTCTGCCAAGTCTTCCCCAAAGGGTTGCATTCCAGATGTGAGCCTTAGTCCAACACATCTGGAGGGCACACATGACAGAGCTAGGCCTGGACTTTGGAGTCAACCCTATGGCCTCCACAGCCCAGGACCTCCAAAAGTTCACCCAGAGAGCAGCTGATAGAGAAGAAACTTCCAAGTTATTCCTGTAGTCATTTCAGTGCTCTGATTTAAATGACTTGCAAATGCAAAAATGCTTAGAGTATTAGTATTGTTAATTCAAGAATGACAGTTTTGTTGTTCTAACATACTCAAGTTGTTTTAAAGCATGAGATGGCAGTTGGATTGGTGAAGATGAAATGATACCTGCATGCTTTACAAATAAAGGGAAACACCTGGACATCTAAATTCTCTTCATTCTCTGTAAGCCCATTTAGGCCTACAGTTTTCTAGCTGCCCAGCTGAGGACACAACCAATTGGGAATGGTTACTCTGGCACATCTTTGCTGGCAGAACAACTATGCCAGTGGAGTGTTGTACAGGCATATTGTGGTATCAGGTTATCTCACATTCAGGCAGCATAGGATTATGCCCAGAACCTTGTTAACAGTGCAGTGTAATCCCATATGTGTCTCCTTGGAAGTACGTAAGCCCCATGGTCTTCAGTGGGGTTTCCTTTTAAATTCCTTTGTATAACGAGTTACACCCAAAGTGAAGTCACTCATTCATGGATGGTAATTGTCTTCAGGATCATTATCTTTTAATTGATCTGGTATAACAGACCTGTCACTCTGAAGATTTGTGTGCACATGCTGTCAGGTTTCTCTCTGCCAATTTTATGTGTCTGACAGTGTTGACTCTCCCTTGTGAAGGACCATGCAGTCACACAAAGTGCATTATTCCTTAGTGCCAAATGGCTATTTAATGTCTTGACTAAAACAAGCACCTTTGGAAATGTGCAGAAGTGTAACATCTCCTACTGGATTTGCATTTCTCTTCCGGAAATCAGCAGCTCAGTAAACAGCTTTGACTGGATTACTCACCACAGCTTCAAGATCTTTTTGTTTACGAATCACAACACGAGATGTAATATGACCCCATGCCAGTAGGGGGCAGAACAAACCAAGAAAGGGACCATATTTGTTGCAGTATACAGAATGCTTTCTATGCAATACAGATCCTTTGGTGTTTGTCATATACTACCTACAGTACATTGGGAGAAATGCTCTTTACAGCAGGGCAATAAACAAATGGTCAAAGCAAAGAATCATAATATAAATATATATTAGTTATTCATCTAGTAAGCATATCTTTCAACTTTTAATACCACAATATATACTCATTCATAGGTTGGTCCAACAGGAACAGAAATCCAAAAGTTGAACTGAGTAATAACGTCATTAGAGCCAACTTAAATGTCACCAAATGACCAGCAAGTTGTTTTTTGATTATTTAGTAGCTCTTCTTGCCCACTGTAGGTCAAACAAAATTTGGAATCTAGTTACTCCCCAATCCTGCCATTTATAATAATCATTACCTGTAATACAATATCTCATATAAATCTAACTTCCAAAAACTATCCAGAATCATGATTTGTTGCAATAGAGTTGGAATAGTCTCAGAAACATGAACAAATGTCTGGTTTTTGCCAAAAATGTGAGGAAGACCCTGTAAGTGGGTTAGATCTGGTAAATTCAGCCTGTTCTAACAGAACTGGGCTATGCCTGAAATAACAGGCACAAAGTCTGAAGGTGTTCCTAGAGCCTGCATTGCTTCAGAAGGGCCAGGTGGTTTCAGTGGAACTGGATGCCTATTTCCAGCATTGTTCGGTTCAACTGTAGCCATTCCTGGACAGAAGCAGCTTGGGTTTTAGTCATGAAACTGCTAACATTTCTCTTCCAGCCCTCTAATTGCTATGCCATGCTTTAAAACTTAGACATTCCCAGGAGGATAGAACAACAAAACTGTTTTTGATCCCTCATCAGGTATAAAAAGTGTGGGTCATATATCTCTATGAGCAGTGAGAATTTATTGTTTTACTTAAGGTGCAATCCTGTGCAAGTTTAGGCTGAATACAGACCTAGAATTCCCACCATACCCCATCCAGTAAATGCAGTCTGGTAGGTTTGGGGTAGGTGTGCACATTTTATGCAAATCTCTGTTTTTCTTTGACCTTTTTTTGCAATAAATTACCTCTCTTTTTTGGCAATGTGTAAACGGCCACAGAGTCCTGCTGCATATTCACAGGAATATAAAAAGACCCATGCTGAAACACATCCAGGGGCCCATCCAGTTCAGCATTCTGTTCATATTGTGGCCAGCCATCTGTCCACATGGAACCAACAAGCAGAACATGAACACGACTGCACCCACCTGCCCATATTTCCCAGCAATGGGTGTACATAGACATACTGCCTCTGATACTGGAGGTGGCATATGGCCATCAGGACTAGTAGCCATTGATAACCTTCTCCTGGAATGTGTCCAGTCCTCTTTCAGAGCTGTCAGAATTGGTGGTCTATGCTCCCTCTTGTAGTGAATCCTATAGCTTCATTACATGCTATGTGAAGAATTACTTCCTTTTATCTGTGATGAATCTCCCACCAGTCTGCTTCATGAGATGACCCTGAGATTTGTATTATGAGAAAGAAAAATGTGACCCTTTCCACTTGCTCCATGTCATGCATAATTGTGTACTCCTCTGTCATGTCTCTCTTGTTCATCTCTTTTCTAAGCTAAAACATCCCAGAAGTTGTAACTCTGGGATGTTTTAGCTTTCTTGTAGAGCTTGTAGAGCTTCACTTCTTTGAACATTTCAGTTGCTTTCTCTATTATTTTTGCAATGCTACAAGATCCCATTCAGGGACTGTAACTAGTTCTGTACACAGTATTCCAAGTATGGCCACACTATAGATTTGTATAATGGCAGTATGATCTTGGCAGTTT